TAATATGGCCGCGAACACGTGTAAGTCCCGAAATGGCGGCCACCCAGGCACTTCGCACAGCATTCGTGGGTTTCTCTATACGAAAGCACTTGTGAATCAGGGAGGTAAATGATCTATAATTAGGAAGCCTTGTGGCCTGGTGTTCGGTAGTTAGCATTCGTATGGGGAATGCTTCAAATGTCCCGAACTGATGCCTGCAAAAGTCCCTATAAAGCAGGTTAGGCTCCTCCATTTGTTACAGTGCACTTAATATGAAAGAGGCGAATTACGAGTGAACAGACATATAGCGCAAATTCCAGTTTTTGTTTACATTTTGTTTTGATCAGAATGTATACTATTGACTTCGTCCTGAAGGGGTTAAATACACAATTGAACATTTCCTAAGGATTGTGTCTAAGGTGTTTTGGGGGAAAAAACAAAAAACACTTTCGACAAAACATCGTCTTCTCACTGTGATTTTAACATTGACAATTGCGGAAGCGCCTCTAGAGGCAGTCACTGAGACAGCCACTAGAGGTTGGATTAACCCTCAGTGAAACCTAGCAGTTTCTCTGAAACTGCTAGGTTTTCAGCTGCAGGGTTAAAACTAGAGGATCCAGACCACTTTATTGAGCTGAAGTGGTCTGGGTATCTAGAGTGGCACTTTAAACCTTAGCGTGGGAAGCGGACCTCCAGAGCTCAAACACAATGCCCTAGCGTTAACTGACTGCGCGGGCGGAGGTAGCAGGCGTTGCCACACCGCTGTCAGACACAACCAGAGGGGAGAAACCAGGGAAACAAGAAACAAGAAACAAGGGAAATTTACGGTATTAGAGGGGGGGGTGGGAGGAAGAGAATGGAAGAATAAGGAGGAATGAGAAATAAAAGAAATATTTTGTCGCCACCAACTTTATATAATTAGAAAGAAAGTTGAGAAACCCTAAGCTCAATTACAGTCAAAGTGGAGAGCAGGGTATTCCAATTTAGGCAGATTGAACTTAAGAAAGGCAATCTGCTCCCTGAGATGAGGTGACATTTGTGAGCGCTGTGGATTAAGTATATTACCGGTTACCGAAAACACACGCTCACTTGGGACAGTGGTTGGCGGACATGATAGCAGTTCCTGCCCAACCAATGAGAGTGCAGGCCACACACTCTTCTTCTCATCCCAATAGCTAAGAGGGTTGTCATTATGGGGCAAAGGAGGTTCAGAGAGGTACGCTCTGATCATTTCTGAGGCAGTACTCTCCTGTCTGCTGCTAGCACTCTCAGTGGGTCCAACTATATCCTCAAGCAACTCTTCCCAAAATGCAGCTGCTCCACTCAGTTGTGTGGTGGTGGTGGTTGTGCCACTGCTTCTGCTAGAAGTAGCCAACATCTCAGCCTCCTGCTGAACTACTCCTTCAGACAGCATTCCCCTCTTTTGCTGACAGTCACACACCCTCTGGATCAGTTTCTCCCTCCAAGTTGTTAGGCTATTGGATCTGAGTGCAAGCTTTTCCTTAATCCTTGAATCACACAGGCAAGCTAGCATCAGTTCAGGAGAATTATCCATTCACTCACGTAGGCGAACTTTAAGCTGATCCTTCAGCCTACTGACCAGCGTTACTACATCAGGATGTAAAGGATCACTGT